AAACAACAACAACCTCCAAGCATTGTACGGGCTCGATGATATATATAAAGCACGAATAAAACATAACAGCCAGTTAAAAACTTTGACATAAAGCCCATAAAACATTTTAAAACAAATTTGAAAAGAAGTGTAACTAAACCGTGGGTCTCGAAAAGTTTTCAGTAGGCAGTACAGTTAAGGTGCCTGTCTGATGTCTATAGAACTGTAGCGTTGGAAAGGACCCAAAGGATCATACAGTCCAACCACCTCCAGTGCAGGAATCGCAGCTAAAGAATTGCTGGCAGATGGACTACAGTGGTACCTCGGGTTACATACGCTTCAGGTTACATACACTTCAGGTTGCACACTCTGCTAACCCATAAATAGTGCTTCAGGTTAAGAACTTTGCTTCAGGATAAGAACAAGAATCGGGCTCCGGCGGCACGGCAGCAGCAGGAGGCCCCATTAGCTAAAGTGGTGCTTCAGGTTAAGAACAGTTTCAGGTTAAGAACGGAACTCCAGAATGAATTAAGTACTTAACCTGAGGTACCACTGTAATGATTTTGGAAGTTTAATAGGTACCAGAATATATATATACTGTACTTTTCCATGTATGACTATGTTTTTTTACTCTAAAATAATGTTCAAAATCTGGGCTCGTCTTATACATGGATAGTATCTCCCCGCATTTTCTTAAACTGGAGTCCCCAAAAACAGGGGGCATCTTATACATGGGGGTGTCTTATAGATGGAAAAATACAGTGTGTGTGTGTGTGTGTGTGTGTGTGTGTGTGTTGCTTCAACCCGAGTTGGCACCCCTAGGGATTGCTCCTAGAAATTCAGTAAGCGTTGGCTTGGAGGCATTTGGTTTTCTGCTACTTCCACCTCATGGGTAATGACATAGTCCTCAGGGACGGATCCAGGTGACTGACGCCAGTACAGCAATTTAAGCAAACTGTGACAGTTTCAGCCCACAGCACTGAAAAATTTAGAAGGGAAAGGAGCATAGCTCAACTGTGGTAGCGGCCAAGCTGTGAGTGAACTGCAGAGGTGAGGGAAAAAATGGTTTGAAAGGCTGGCCTATTAGGGGTGCTCGTGCACTGACTGCTCATCAGCCTTGGGAGTTGAGAGTTTGGGTCAGTGGAGTGCAGAACAGAATAGTGTATATACAACAGGAACTGGGACTAAAAAAATGCAACAGTAGTTCTCAGTTGGCAGAGCATGAGACTTTTGCTTTCAGGGTTGGACTCTTCTCGGGGGTCCCTTCCAACTCAGCGCATACTGCATTGTCTTCAGTCAGTGGATGCCCCATGACTCCCTTCTGAAATCCTGTAACTTTCTATATACAGTCATACCTCAGGTTGAAGTAGCTTCGGGGTAAGTATTTTCGGGTGCCCGCTGCGGCGACCCGGAAGTAAAGGAGCGCGTTACTTCCATTTTTCGCCACTCACGCATGTGCAGGCGGTCAAAATGACGTCATGCGCAGAAGCGGCAAATCGTGACCCACGCATGCGCAGACACACGGACGCAGGTTGCGTTCGCTTCTGGATGTGAACGGGGCTCTGGAACGGATCCCGTTTGCATCCAGAGGTACCACTGTACCACAAACATTCTGCCTTATTTTTGGTTGCGCTTTTGTTGCACCGTAATGCAAGAACGGGCCCCTCAAGGTGGCAGTAATGCAGTGAAACGGGGGGGGGGATGCAGAAAAAGCGGGAAAAGGTGTGTGGGAAAGTCCATTACAAATCTGCCACTAACACGCTACTATTGGATCAATGGCGTGTTGCAGAATGTGCCCATGTTTGTTCTCTGAGTTGGCTTTGAGAGGCCGTGCGGTTAAAGCATTGGATTAGGATCCAGGAGGCCAGAGTTCAAATCCCTGCTTGCTGGGTGACCTTGGGCCAGTCACAGCTTCTCAACCTAACCTACCTCACAGGGTTGTTGTGAGGATAAAATGGGGGAAGAGGAGAACAGTGTATGGCCTCATTAAGCCCCTTGCATCCTCATGCTGCCTGGCATTTTTTTGCTCCAGGTCAGGACCCCCAACACCTTGCATGGCAGCCCCCTTTGCTGTGGGCAGGGAACCACAGCTCCGTTGGTAGAGCATGAGACTCTTCATCTCAGGGTCGTGGGTTTGAGCCCCACGTTGGGCAAAAGATTCCTGCATTGCAGCGGGTTGGACCAGATGACCCTCGTGGTCCCTTCCAGTTCCACGATTCTTCAGCCCAAGGGCCACATTCCATTCTGGGAAGTCTTCCAGGGGCCACCTGCCAGTGCCAGGCAGGGACAGAAGCAAAAATGGGCAAAGCAACTTCACCTTTGTATCATAGGCTTGTTTCTTTGTGCTAACACACCTCCTCTCTCTATCTTCCGCCCAACATGATCAGAGTTCAAAGGCACCTTTGTTCAAGGAGGGTATGAAACAGAACTGGTAAGGGGTGTAGCCTGCTGAAGGTCCCAGGGGCTAGATAAAGAAGCCCGGGATGGGGACATATGGCCTTTGAACCCGAAAGGTCCCCATCTCTGATCCACATTCTCCATTTCCGGAAACTGCAGCTAATCCAGAATGCGGCAGCTAGACTGGTGACTGGGAGCGGCCGCCGAGACCACATAACACTGGCCCTGAAAGACCTACATTGGCTCCCAGTATGTTTCTGAGCACAAGTGTTGGTGCTGACCTTTAAAGCCCTAAATGGCCTCGGTCCAGTATACCTGAAGGAGCGTCTCCACCCCCATCGTTCAGCCTGGACACTGAGGTCCAGTGCTTGAGGGCCTTCTGGCGGTTCCCTCACTGCGAGAAGCGAAGTTACAGGGAACCAGGCAGAGGGCCTTCTTGGTAGTGGCGCCCGACCTGTGGAATGCCCTCCCACCAGATATCGAGGAAATAAACAACTATCTGACTTATAGAAGACATCTGAAGACAACCCTGTTTAGGGAAGTTTTTAATGTTTGATGTTTTATTGTGCTTTTAATTCTGTTGGGAGCTGCCCAGAGTAGCTGGGGAAACCCAACCAGATGGGCGGGGCATATATATATATATATATATATATGCTTTCGTAGATTTTCACGGGTACAGGAATGCAGGTTTTGGTGTCCTCGGGTGTCTTCCCGTGTAAAAGTTGGGGTGTCTAGGCGACGTTTCGACGAGGTCTCACTCGTCATCTTCAGGCTGGTGCTTTCGGCTTCTTGTTCCAGTAACAAGAAGCCGAAAGCACCAGCCTGAAGATGACGAGTGAGACCTCGTCGAAACGTCGCCTAGACACCCCAACTTTTACACGGGAAGACACCCGAGGACACCAAAACCTGCATATATATATATATATATATATATATATATATATATATATATAGTTAGTTCCGCTTTGTTTTGCTGAGAGCAGATTCCAGTCTAAAGATAACGCCTGCTGATTTCCATTGTGCGGTGACTCTCCTTCATCTGCTGGTTCTCCTAATCCCACTTCTGCTTGGAGTTTGCGTTCGTCACCGTGACGTTTTCATTTTCAATAACACAAAGTTAGGAACAGAACTTTCAAGGTGAAGTTGTGCTTGAGCAATGACATGTGAATACAGGTCAGGAGAGAGGTTGAGGGGAGAGCAGACCCACTAGCATTTAATTCTTCATCTGCAAGGGAAAGCAGGCTGAGCGTGCCCCTCTGAAGGTGTCATTTTGAGGCCATAAATTAGTGTGCGCTGGTGTGGGGCTACAGAACATGTACATTTCCTTTATGTGCATTTAGGAGAAGCGCCGTAGCTCAGTCGTAGGGAGTCTGTTTGCATGCATGCACAAGGTCCCAGGTTCAATCCCAGAGATCTCCACGCAGGGCTTGGAGAGACTTAACTGCAATATTTTATTACTCTGCCACCCTGGGCTCATCTCAGAGGAAGGATCAGCTGGAAATTGAATGAATGATAATATTATTTTCCAGGCAACAGGCTCACATAGAACAAACACCTTAGAGGTTCACCATAGTATTCAGAGGGGAGTTTAGAAGATGGCATGCTTTATCTACAGTGAAACATTGTCCACACAGAGCTCATTTTGTCCCTGTTTACTGATTAATTTCACCTGCTCTGCTTCTGTACCTATGTTCTCTGCCTTTTGTTTCTGTTTTTCTGTTTCTGCTTACCGATAATTATAAACCTCTTAAGGTCACTCTGAAAGCTGCAGACTCTCTAGCTCATCCATCGCTGGCAAATATCAGCGAGCCCGTGATTCTTCTCGCCTACTGTATTAAATTCGTCTCACCCAATATATTAGAAATGAGCAGTAGGTGTCAATGCCACACCTTCCTAAACTTTATTACAATGCTGGGAGCAGCTGACTTTGCTATCTCAATAGAGGAATTCTGTTCTGACTTCTGCTTTAATTTCCTCCCAACACAGGCTGCTTATTAAGCAACCCTGTTAAGGAAAGGACTTGAAACCTGTGCCCCCACCCCGATGTTGTTGGACTACAACTCCCATCATCCACATGCTGGCTGTCAAACAACTTCTGGTTCCTCATCCTCCTGTTAAGCCTTAGCACAGGGATGGGGAACCTGTGGCCAGAAGTTACAGCATCACCAACCCCAGCCAGCATGGCAGTGACCAGGGATGATGGGAGTTGTAGTCCAGAAAGATGTGGAGGTTCCCCAATCTTGCATTAAGGACTTGGGACCATCCTGATCCTCACCTGCCTGTCCTGTTGTCCACAAAGGGTTGGGAATACAGTCATACCTCAAGTTACAGACGCTTCAGATTGTGTTATTTCGGGTTGCGGACTGCCGAAACCCGGAAGTACCAGAACAGGTTACTTCCGGGTTTCGGCAGTCGCGCATGCGCAGAAGCGCTGAATTGCAACCCGTGCGTGCGCAGATGCGGGTTGCAAACACTGCGGGTTGCAAATGTGCATCCCGCACAGATCATGTTCGCAACCTGAGCGTCCACTTCTTTGCATTCAATTTTGCCAGCGTGTTTTCTACTCCTAGTGTATTCTAAAGAGAATGACCGAACCCTGTCTTGCGTTTCTCTTCCGTTCTTAGGGGAGAACACAGAACTGCCGACCTTCTCTGCCACTGCGGGGCTCCACTCTGTGCTGGAGGACACGGTATCGCCCGCATTCAGTGCCACCGTTATCATCATCGTCACAGTCATCATCTCCGGGAGTGCTTACCTGTGTTTCTTGAAATACATCTGCGCCGGGTGCTGCAAATCCACACAGGTGGTGCCTGTCAGGAGACTGGACCCCAGCAGATCGGAAGAGCAAGTGTAAGTCTTGGTTCTCAGTCGGCTGTTGATGGCTCAGCCAAGAAGAAATCATGTCCACCTGTGAATGAGAACGAAAAGACCAGCCTGTTCCTGATGGTGCAAATAAATGTTGGGAGATGTCTAAAAGGAGAAGATAGCCTGCCCAGGGAATTTGGTCAACCAGAAAACACTTGTGAAACTTTGTGGCTTAAAATCTGATTATCTACATATGGTTTATCTCCACTGGATAACTGATTGACGTGGACAGGCCAAAGTCCAGCAAGTCACAGCCTGCAGGGCTACTTTGAGTCAAATGCCTGGTTCCACTCCCTGGAAGCCGAATTCCATTCTTGTGGGTAGGAGATGGAATATTTGGGCATTGCTTTTTCCTGTCCCACATACTAGATATGAAATACCCCTCCACTGCCTGTCACTAGGGGGGTCTCCCTTTGCAACACCTGCTGTGAGAAGAATGGGTCCGACGTGTCAGGAAAAAGCACCAATGCAAAAGCAAGCTGCAGGTGTCTGGAATGCAAAACACAATGTTGATGTCTGGGACTGTACTATTGGAAAAAGGGGCAGTCTATTCAGTGTACTGAGCACCGGATGTTAGCTCAGAGTGTCATCTGACCTGTACTGGAAGTACAGGGGTGGAGTCTGTGTGGTCTTCTGCTGGAGACTGGAGGGTACAGACATGTTTCTCTGTACTGCTGGAATGACAGAAATAAAGAGATGTAAATAGATTTCTGTCTGTCTCTTTTCTCCTCCCTGAAGAAGCAGGGAGGAGGGAGGAGGGTGTGTCCCTCTCACGTTGAGTGGGATCGCCGATTTGTGACCTTGCCTGTAACCTGCCGGGAGACGCAGCTGGGAAGGTCATCAAGGATCTCGAGCCAAATGCCTGGTGTGAGGCCAGTTACCTCTGATTGCGGCTGAGAATCCTGACAGTTATGGGGTGGATCAGGTCTCTGGGGCTGAGCCCTTGATTTCCTGCACCTCTCCCTCCCTTCTTAGAACAACTTTGTTCCTGTTTTTACTTTGCCTACAAATTGCAGCGCTGGTGAAGATCCCAGGAACCCGCCACCTTAATTTGTCCAGAGGCAGCTATATAAATTAGTGCATTGGCAAATTGTGTCATGGCCTGTGCCCCAAAGTCTTGTAAGTATCTAGCAACCTCACTGGGCCATTCCTAGGTCTTTAATGCTAAAGTCATCATGGTCCAATTTGCCTGACGGAAAAGTTGGTCCATCAAGGACTTGCTCTTTTGAACTTTGGATGCTTCTAAGACAGGCAGCCCACTCCTCCTGTGTTGAAAAGAGTCAGTTTGCCTCTAAAGAGGTTGCTCTATATCTTCTCCTACTGTATTTCCTCCTACTCTTATCTGCATCTGTCAGTGCCACTTATTTAAGCATAAAGGGTAAAGGGACCCCTGACCATTAGGTCCAGTCGTGGCCGACTCTGAGGTTGCGGCGCTCATCTCGCTTTATTGGCCGAGGGAACCGGCGTACAGCTTCTGGGTCTTGTGGCCAGCATGACTAAGCCACTTCTGGCGAACCAGAGCAGTGCACGGAAACGCCATTTACCTTCCCGCTGGAGCGGTACCTATTTATCTACTTGCACTTTGATGTGCTTTCGAACTGCTAGGTTGGCAGGAGCAGGGACCGAGCAACGGGAGCTCACCCTGTCACAGGGATTTGAACGGCTGACCTTCTGATCAGCAAGCCCTAGGCTCTGTGGTTTAACCCACAGCGCCACCCGCGTCCCATCTATTTAAGCATATTTGTGTGCAATTGGCCTTTGCTATTTCTGTGTTATCAGAGCCTTCCCTCCCTTCAAACAGGAAATCAGTACTGCTACACATGCTGTAAAAAACCTTGCTGGCTTACAATGCAATCCCATACAGTGGTACCTCAGGTTACAAACACCTCGGGTTACAAACGCTTCGGGTTACAAACTCCGCTATCCCGGAAGTAGTACCTCGGGTTACAAACTTTGCCCCAGGATGAGAACGGAAATCGTGCAGCGGCGGCAGCGGGAGGCCCCATTAGCGAAAGCGCGCCTCAGGTTAAGGATGGTTTCGGGTTAAGAACAGACCTCCAGAATGAATTAAGTTTGTAACCCGAGGTACCACTGTATTATGTCTAACTCGGAAGTAAATCCCACTGAATTCAATTGTGCTTATTCCTGTGGCACAGTGGGTCAATGTGTCTGGCTGTGGACAGGATTCCTGCATTGCAGGGGGTTGGACTAGATGATCCTTGGAGTACCTTAAAACTCTACAACTCTATGATTTTCCAGGATTTCTGAGGCTGCAACCTATTATTGGGTTCGACTGGACTTTGAGGAGGCCTGCGTAAGGTCACTGTCTCTCTGCATAACCTACCTCGGAGGGTTGTTGTGCAGATAAAATGGGGAGGGAAGAATCCTGCACTTGAACTCCTTGGCGGAAAAGGTGGTACTGTATATAAATGTAATAAATAAATAAATGTAAGATGTCTGTCTGTGAATATTTTTTCAACAGGAGGTAAGCCTATTGCTCCCCCCAGAGGTGCAAGTTGTGTGATGGTGGGTTTTTAGCACCTGTTGAAAATCTTATCTCTTCACCCATTAGAAGAAAGTTGATTTGACAAAAGCGGAAGTAAATGGATAGGTGCTGTCTGCTGCTCTGGTTAAATGGGTTTGTTTTAAGCTTGTTTAAAATCAGTGGCCTAATTTTCGTTTAATTAAATGCTTGAGTTATAAGTTGCCCTGGGATCAAAACTGATGAAAGGTTGTGAACGAATGAAATAAATAAAATCCCAGAATCTGTTTACTACCCCAGCTCATCACATTTTGGAAGGCAGGTCAATCAAAAGGGGTGTGCTATGTTTTTCAGTGGGATTCATTAGATGTTTTCTCCAAATATCTGAGCGATTTAAAATAGTCCAATAGAATATAAGCAAATTCAGAACCAAACCCTCAGATGAAACCAGTTATCTGGGAACGAAACAATGAAAACACTACACTCTTGATGAAAGCAGCAAAAGTGAAGAACTAAAAATGCACATTGTAGATAAAAACAAGGCTTAAGATTTCAATCGACACACCTAGGAGAAAGTGCCACTGAACTCAGTATGGTTCCATATTTGAGTAGGTTTGCACAGAATTGCACCCTTGTATCATGAGACACCACCAAACTAATAAATAATAAGAGATAACCCTCTCTAAGCATATGCTGGGTCTTCAGAGCTTTAGAAACTGCTAAAGCAGGTTTGTGTGAACAGTGTTGTGGAACACCTTGCTTCCCTTCTACCAATACATGGAGCCCTCAGGTGGACAGACCCTGGGGAGGCCATCCCAACTGAGATGGATCAGCCGGTATAGCATGAGACTCTTCATCTCAGGGTTGTGGGTTTGAGCCTCACGTTGGGCGAAAGATTCCTGAACTGCAGGATGGTTGGGCTAGATGGCCCTCATTGTTGTGTTGTTTAGTCGTTTAGTCATGTCCGACTCTTCGTGACCCCATGGACCAGAGCACGCCAGGCACTCCTGTCTTCCACTGCCTCCCGCAGTTTAGTCAAACTCATGCTGGTAGCTTCGAGAACACTGTCCAACCATCTCGTCCTCTGTCGTCCCCTTCTCCTTGTGCCCTCCATCTTTCCCAACATCAGGGTCTTTTCCAGGGAGTCTTCTCTTCTCATGAGGTGACCAAAGTATTGGAGCCTCAGCTAGGATCTGTCCTTCCAGTGAGCACTCAGGGCTGATTTCCTTCAGAATGGAGAGGTTTGATCTTCTTGCAGTCCATGGGACTCTCAAGATGGCCCTCACGGTCCCTTCCAATTCTGCGATTCTATGAGGGATCCTGGAATGCAAAGCTGTCTCACCAAGAAGGTTCTCTCACCTGCTGGGCCGCGTTCTGCCTCCACCGTCAGAGGGATCGTGCCACTGAATACCAGTTTCTGGGAACCGCAGGGCTCTTGTGTTGAGGTTCTGCTTACAGGTTTCCCATTGGGGCATCTGGTTGGCTCCTGTGAGAACAGGATGCTGAGCTAGGCAGGCCATTGGCCTGATCCAGCGGGTCTCTTCTTAGGTTCTTAAAGGATATGGACAGTGGAATTGGGATTTGGTGGGTGTGCTCCCCTCCCCGCACTCTTTGCTCTGTGAATTTCCGCGTGTCCTCAACAACCAGCGTTTTGAATTGGGTCCAGATGTCAACGGGAAGCTGCCAGAGAAGCAGTATATTCCCCGTTAAATAAATGCAGTGTTCATTTCTTTGAATGGGTGGATGTGCCCTTCATGGGACAGTTCGCCGGGTTGCACAAAAGTCAAGTTGAAGTGGCCGCCAGAGGGAGCCCCAGGAACGTCTCCAAAGGATAATGGTACCTGGAGGAATCAGCTGGTTCTCTGTAGGAAAATCAATCAGGAGCCAAGACCTTCATGGCTGATCTCAACATATGCAAGTCCCTTTTCACCACTAGCCCCCAACAAAAAATTTCTCACAGCCCAGATATTGTCAGCACAATCCTAGACGTGTCTACTCAGAAGTAAGTCCCGTGGAGTTTAGTGGGGGGATTGCTCTCAAGTAGGTAAGTACAGAATTGTAGCCTCTGGGCTGTGTCAGTTTACAATGCAAATAATTAGTTTTTCTCAGGACTGTTCATGCTCATCCCTCACCTGTTGCTTTCAAGCTAGTTTAATTCCAGTTCCTGCCATCTGCCAAGATGGATATGATAACCTGATAGATATTTGAAAACCCTTCCCTTGATTAGCTTATCCATACCTTTCGCTTACCACCCATGCCCCAGTGAATAAGGAAGGGAGTGGTGATTGCGATCTTGGTGTATGCCCACCCACAACATCACTGGGCAGGTGTGGATACACCCCACAGTGCTGAGTCCACCTCCATCCATTTTCAGATGGACACACTGTGTGGTAAAGCAGGATCAGTCTGCACTGAGCTTTTATTTTTCGAAGGAAACGGGTTGGACAAAACCCTCTTCATAAAATACCCCATGGGTCTGGGTTGTGTGTGGACTAGGCAGGAGAAACAAGACCTCGATGTGCATTGCATGTAGAATATAATGCTGAGTGCACACAGCCAGGGCCGGATTTAGGTTTGATGAGGCCCTAAGCTACTGAAGGGAATGGGGCCCTTTATATGTCCAGCTGTCCTTTGTCAACAACCAATTGCCACTGTTTTTTGTATTGAATATATGCTATGTGGTAATTTATGGGCCTAATAGGTATCTAAAGCCATTTGCACATAACAAAATATGTATTTTATCAAAGTAACTGATATCGAAATGAGCAATATATTTTAGGGAGCAGGCTAGCAGGCGGGGCTCATTACTTACATCATAGGAGCCTACACAAAACAAAACACTGTTGCTGTATGTAGGTTTTATTTTATTTGTTTTTTATCTTATATTTTGGAACTGTACATCTAGTTTTTCCCCTTTTACATTCTTTGCCCCCCCCCCAGAGCGTGGGGCCCTAAGCAATAGCTTGTTTAGCTTATACGTAAATCCAGCACTGCACACAGCCTTAGTCTGTGATTATGAAGAAAATGCAAGTCCCTTTCAAGGGAAGCAGTACTGTTGGCACACAACCAAAAACCACCCCAAACAACCCCTGAACGGTGGTTGCAAAATTCCACACTGTGAAAGAAGACAGGTTTTTTTTTAATGCA